GTAACACTATACAAACAGTACTTTGAAATTACAGAAACATTATTTTCACAGCAACCTTACTGAAGTTCCAGCTGTGTGAGCAGAATATGTCATAGTTGACCTTGGAGAATAATTTAAATTTATTTATTAAGTTTGACATTGAAAGTAAATGGAGATTGCTGCTCAGGCTGAGAGCCATGAGAAAACAGACAACAGAAGCACACCCATTCATAGAAACACACAGGTGGCTCAACAGATGAAGGTATGAGGGTGGAAATAGTCACACATAAGGAAGTGTACATGGTTGCACACATGCTCACTCATCAGCGTGCATACAGTACAGTGTACATACACTCTTTGATTACCCACACTCCGCACAAAGCCAACTGAGCCACAGGCATGATAAACAAATGAGTAACTGTGGGGATCCATTACATTGCGTGTGTTGCTGTTCCCTCACACCTCCTGCTTTGTCCTTTTCTGGACTAGTGCACAAGCATTATTGTCCACTGGCCATCGGGGACCGACACCTTACAGGCTTTCCCTTAACACACACCCACTGTGCCAGCTGTGCAGGTGTGTGTCTGTATACTACATGGAAAAGATTCTCTTTTTTCTTCTCCTGTTCTTTTTCCTATATGATATGGACATTTTCCTTTTTTTCTTGCTGACTTGCAAGCACATGGAGAACCTTCATATCAGAGACAAATTCCTTGTGTGTTAAAACACAGTTGGCCAATAAATGTGATTCTGATTCGGTGTGCTGACAGCTTTTAACAGTGCAAGTCTGTGTACATGCCTGCCTGCCGTGGCGTTGCTTTGTCCAAATGCCACCACGGAGTGTCAGTCAGTCAGTGTTGTGCCAGTCACCCACGCAGCAGGTTTGCAGTACTGTGTAGGCACTATCTCCTCAGTGAGTGTGATGATCGCTACGTGGTGTTTGTGTAATCCCCACGCCGAAACAAACTAAGGCTTCCCCGGTCCACACCCACTCCAGCACAACTGAGTCTCCTGAAGTTAGTGGCTGAGGAATTCTGTTTTGTGTGATATCAACACCAGCCCACTAATATAACAGGTCAGAGTGGATGTTGGTAAAGTTGATGGGATAGTGTATTGGAGGTGTGTCTGTTAAGGTAACAACACATCCCTCAGACCCGTGATGAAGATATTAAAGACAGGTAATATCTTCCTGTTATTGAACTGCAACTGCAGAAGACACGCTGGCTTAGAATGCTTTTCTTTACTAGCATCCTGCAGAGGTGTTGATTTAATAAGGACACCCAGTAAGGGAGAATTACTTTTACATGGATAATTTTATTTGTATTTTTAATCAAAAGACTTTTCTTGCATGCACCACTTGTATATTTGTGTCCCACTGGGAGACACTAATGGGGAGACTAGTGTAGAAAGACATGAGGATGTGCACTGCCCCCTCACATTTACAGTAGACATTGTGGTGTGCATGAATACTCACAGTACATAGTGTCAAGAAAACCAGCACATGTACTTCTGGAAGGTGACTCAACGTGTCTGATTGTTTGGTAGCAAACTATCTAACACATTGCTCACTGGCACGGTCCGTCTATCTGTCGCACATCTACACAGGCAGCAGCATCTTATAGCGCCTGTCCAATTGTCACTGACAAAGACGCTCGTGCTGTTCTTCTCCATCTTGCACCCCTCCCCTCTCCTACGTTGCTTGTCTCTTTGTCTTCCAGAGCACCCTCCTTTTCTTTTACTGCTGGTGTCTTTCATTTGTTCTGTCCCTTGGCGTCACCACTTCCGTTTAACCATATACTGCTGCTTTCTTTCCACACACTGGCACACAGTCTGTGCCACAATGGGTACTGGAGTGGCATGTAATTAGTTTCTTCTTCTTATAAGGCAACTAGTTTTTGAGTTTTTGAAATGCTAGACAGCCCTAAGAGACAACGTCATCACTATTGTGTTAGTAGTTTTATCAATAATTCTGTACTTTAAAGGTCAAGAATTAGTTTAACTGATTTTTTAATTATTCTGTGAATTAAAGAAAATGTGTAGTAATTAATAGGATATTCAAATACAGTATAGTAAGCAGCTCTGTGTTAGGGGTTGCCTAATGATTGTACAGGGCCACAATCTGCTATCGGGTCTGGGGACAGAAATGTAGACCCCCATTGATCCCCCACTATATGCTTCACATTTCCTGTGCAATGTGTATGTACTTTGTTAACTGAAGTTTGGGAATGAAGACTATAGCCAAAAGACTATGTTTAAGAAAGGTTAACAAGAGTATTGGCATTTACTGGATAAGGAGAGTCTTTAAAAAAATTTGCATTGTGGGATTCAATTGTGATATTGAAGCTTAACCCTAGGGACTAAGTAGGACTTTTTTCTTTTTGTAATATGTTTCTCACAAGTCCTTAATCTGTATTGGAGTGAGGTGCCAACTTGCTTTAGTACCCCTTTAAGTACCTCATCTAAGGGGCCCAAAGGCAGCTATACATGGCAACATCATATTATTTGTTTACACTCAGTGTTTACTAAAACACTGTATAACTTTAAGGTCTAAGAAATGTGGTGAGTGTCTTTCCTTCCTCATATAACTTTGACAAGGATGTTTTGGGGGATATTTTAAATTAAGTATTAGAACTGTGGTTTCCTGTTTCACGAAAAAAGAAACAGGGACCTTATTAAAAATGTTCAGAAATTCCACAAGGTCGCTTTAAAGCCCCTGAAATTTCAGTCTAAATTGTGGTTTAGAAGACCATGCAGTATGGATTTATGACACAGGTCTGCAATAACCACTAACGAACTCCTACACTATGAACGCGGAGCCTTTGGGACCCTAACTGTCTGTGCCCTGGGGCAGTTTCCACTTTATTCATCTGGTAATCCAGTCTTGCTGTGACTATAGCAGGTGTATATTTTTCTATGTCAGATTACCAATAATGCAATTGTTTGGGCCTTTCATTCACACTGAAGATGGTTTTATAACCAACAAGCACATAAATACAGAATTACAAAACATGTGTGTACAGTGTAACTATCCTAAACCTAATCAATGCTGGTTTCTGTTCCAGCTTGTACAAATGCTCAAAAGGGTCATTCTTTGTACTGGGAGACAGTGTGCAAAGTGGCATTACAAAATTAATACTTTGTACTGTAAAGCTCATTTCTCAAGAGGGCGGCTGGACTCACTCTGCTTTCTTTGGTCAGTACAACTTCCTGTCCTCTTTTTTTCTCCAGCACAACACTTGTATAATACTCAGCCATATGTGTTCAGATCAATACTGTGCTATGTTCCTTCTCCTCCAGCCCTCTCTCATTCACTCACAAAAAGTGGTTTGCCTGTTGCTAAAAAAAAACTAGCAGTAGCCTGTTGCTATTACCCCTATGTCCAGAGGCATCCTGGGGGATGCTGTCCATAGAACCTGAAGGTCTGAAATCCGATTCCAGCAAGACACTGCATGTTGTAACCCTCTTTCTCTTCACCCAGCACTGCCCTGTTAAGGCATCTATAATTTAAGTTTTAATTCTTCATCTGCAATTGTTTAATAACGCCTGAATATTCTCAGGTCAGTAATAGGTGCCATTTTCAATTGTTGATTTTTTAGAAGCTTTGTTAAAGTTCACTTGTACATAGTAGCCTGTTTAATTCAAGTTGGAGGGGTCCCACAAGCTCCCAAGTCT